GAGGATCGAGGTCTCTCTTCTCTGAAGCGGAAGACGAGAGGGAAACTCGGAACTCCTCCTCCTCCTCTCTCTCTCTCTCTCTCTCTTTCTCTCTCTCTCTCTTTCTCCTGTGTTCTTCAGCGTCGCGGAAGGGCGTCGCGAAGACTCTCGTCGCTTGTCTTTTCGCGATCACACGCTTTATCCGGGTCGACACCTTTGAGAAAGGGACAGCGACGAGAGATAAAGGGGATGCGAGACATCTGACGTGCTCGAGCCTGATCGCGTGATCTGGAGATGGTATACGGCGGTCCTTCCGCCCTATCCCCCGTCTCATTCTCATCAGCTTTACCTTTCGCAATTTTCCTCGAGCGGCTGTACCATCCGTTTCATGCCGTTCATAAGTGAGACTCTAACATCTGTTTTCGGCTTCCTAACTGTCGCGCGGGTAGATATGTCCCTGACGTACAAGACGAGTTACATTGAACATCGTGTACGTGTTAGTACAGTCCTCGTAGAAATTTCATGCTTCTTCTAAGTAGTTATCGAACAGCTATATTAGCTTCTGTCTAATAACTGAGAAATAAAACTACTTGGGATCCTAATTAAGATGTAACGCTTCTCCTGTAATTACTACACACCAAAGACGCGTAAAATCTGAATCCACTCAACTGAACGAAAACAGAACAATAAATGGACAAAAGACTATTCATTCGATTAATACTAGGCAATAACTGGACAAATGTCTACTGCACATATTTTTATCGGGAAAACTGTTTTACACATGCCTGCTGAATTATATTCGAGGAAGCGGAAACGTTGCTTCGAGATAGTTTGACAGTGACAGCTTTCAGTATGTAGAAAGAAAACTTTTCAGTTGCTAGTCCTAATAAACTGTTAAAATTATTATGTCGGGGACTGTACTTAAGAGCACGAGCGGATTTTAAAGTGGTTCATTTGCTTAGCCAAGAGTCAATTTACGGCATAATCTATCTTGATCTTCGTCGGAAACACTTCGGGCGTTTCGGAAAATTGTTCGTGCAAATGTGTTTTAACGCATTTACTGTCACGTAATTCGTACATATCCCGCGTTAAACTTTTCGTTTACACTATTCTATATATTTTTTTTCATTATTTAAATATAACTTATTATAAAATGTCATATAATCATGTATTCATCCTGAAATATTACACATTTTGTAATTATATTTATGTATTTTTTAACATTTTTAACAATCCCCGTATTAAAGTAACACAAACCTCAGATTGTTTCAACAAATCTCTGAATTATTTTTAACACAAAATTGTTTGCAGTGTAATAAATAACCAATGATATGTTCGAAGTTCTTCGTTACTTTTGTAATTTGAAATAACAGTTGGCCATAATAACCAACTATTGAACCAATTATATGGCGATAATATACATATTATCACTACGGTTTTGGAAACTCGCGTCTCAGAAAATTCTTCTCTCTCTCTCTCTCTCTCTCGTAATCACAAATTATAAAAATTTGTAGAATATATACCTATCTGTCTATTACCTGAGACAAGAAGTGGCGCGAAGCTGAAACACCCCGTACATCACGCGTTATCTCGCGTCACTGCTTTCAGGTCCGCCCGGAAATTTCTTGTAACACTGCCAAACGCGCCCATGGCGTCTCTACATTAATGCGAAATCCATGTTATCTACAGAGCGGCGCGACGAAATGTCTTCCACCCAACGAAAATATCGTGAATCGTGTACAACGCAAATTTTTATCATACTTCCTCTCTCTCCCCCTTTCTCTTTCTCTCTTCTTCTCCCTTCCTCTTTCAGACCTAATGCGTTTCTGATTTTCATCGTCGCATCGCGTCGCATCGTCGTCATCAAAATGTCTCGTCTTGAAGAGTAACTACGTCCACGAGAGAAGAGAACCTTTGACGAGAACGCACTCTCTTCCTCTCTCCCTTTCCTTCCCCCCCCCCTCTCTCTCTCTCTCTCTTTACGGAGGAAACCCCTTGCAAAGCAGGTGCCAGCTTTTTCGCTGCCACGTGCTCAAAGTGCGAGAAGATAAGATTGAGAGAGTCGACAGATAAATGAATCGCCAAGAATAATATAGATCTAAACCGCAGGGAGCGTGTGGAAAAAAGCGAGAAGCAATTATGTGGAGAACTACTGGAAGGTTTGCAAAAACTCACCGATCCTTCTCGTGGGACCGGCTGCTGTGGCGCCTCGAGGTTGACCTGCAAATTTCTAATATTATGCGTTTGTCTTGAAAGCACTTTTTCTTAGCGAGTAATCTTAAGTAGCATTCGTATTATTAAACAAACAGCGAGATACTTACTGTAATTAAATCTCGGTCACACTCAGAAGAATATCGCTTATTGGGTAGATAATTTCCAGCTAATAATCACATACGACGATTGCGTTTGTGCGGTTACCTCCCCTATCGATAAGCTAAAATTATAACAGTGCGAATGAAACGATAGCGGATAAAATAAATGAATCGCGATCGCATAAATAACAGTTTCGATGTCAAGTCGACTTTATATTCGGAATTAACGCAATTAAGTATTTTGTTTGTACGCGACTTTCAATAATCGAACGCGTGATGAAGCCATATTGGAAAGTGATATCAATTTTCCTCAACAAAAGTTTCACGGTGAGTCTCTGTTTAATAGAATTCTGATTCAAGGCCTGGTGCACAAATGCGTGAAGTGTTAAAGGTTGAAAAAGCGAGATAAACGGCTGATTTCGCTCAATGTAATTGTTAACTGGAAAATTAAAAAAAAAAGGAAAAAAACGTCGGATCGAGGAAATTACAATGAAGAGTGCAGAGCTTCCTTTCAGAATTGATTTTATTCAACGTGCTTCGGAAGCGCACGCGTCGATAATGTATTCGGCTGTGAAAAATAACGCGGGAGGAAGACGGGAGTATTTGCTTTGTCGGGGATGAAAATTTGCGATTTACAAATTTGAAGGGTGCAAATTCTGTGACACGCCGCCGAGAGTGTGCGCGTCTACATCTGAGAAAGTTCACACACATGTAAGCGCACACACACACACACACACACACACACACACACACACATACACATATGCCCACACATACGCATACGTACATGTACATGTTTTGATTTTTTGGGGTAGAATCGAAAATTTTCGATATTATCAAATTTTTACAAATATAATAATCCCTGTCATAAATCACATAACTTACATAACATCTAATATGTCTATTTACGTCTTAAAGATGAACTCAACTTCTTAAAGAAAACTCAAATAATGTTTTCATATTAATACTTTTGTTTCAATTAAAAGTATAATATATCGCCTTTAAAGTTTAGAAGATTGAAAAATAATGCATGCAAATTCATTTTTAATTTACAAAGGTGTTCAAGCGTTTTCGATTTACAATTATCTCCCCTTGCAGATCGTTTCAATCAATCGGCCGAAACTGTTTATTAGAAAAAAGACAGTCTATAATATTCAAGTTTCCTAAATTCAATGTGTGTATATGTGTGTGTGTGTGTGTGTATGTCTCGTACGTAACGCTCTCGAAAGCAAATGTGAATACGAATATCGATCATCGTATCTCGGTTGCGTAATGCAGTTTCTTGTTGTCACGTAAGGTGCGGTGTTAAATCGAGCGGACAACAGGCGGCACTGACAATAGCTTCTGTCTATATTGTTTAAACGCCAAAGGACAAAGAATAGGGGTGGAAATGGGAGTACATAATATGCTCTGAATAAGCCCCGATTAAGCTCCGTATCCAGTTTTACTGCATACATACACACACATACACACACATGCACAGAACCCGACAAAGTTGCATGCCGCTGACACTATTTGGTTGCTAACAAATTCGTCGGTCTAACTCACTCGCCCTCTCGCTTTCCCTCCCTTTTCTCTCCCTCCCCTTTCATGCGGTGAAAACTATCGCTATCGAGGTATCTTGTTCCCGAGACGTGGCAATTCCTGCGATTGTAATGTGAGCCGAGATCACGGTTACAGCATCAGTAAGAAATTGAGCTGCAATCTCTATGTCATTGCGAACGCGGTCGCCCGTTTTGGGACGATTCGAGCACGACCGAAGAGCTGATTTTCAGAATAGGTCGGACTTGAAATTGTGAATCCTAACGCTTCGCTAAATTTCGTTACGTCGAGGAGAAAAGTTACGTCAGTATCTTGAGTAACGTGAACCCACAATTTTTATACATTTTACATTTATATAGTCGAATATTGACAATAACAACATCACGAACCTTAACTGATTATCTTAAAGGGCCACAATTAACTACAACTAAATCGGTCCAACAGTTCCCGCGATGTTTTGGGTTCTCGATCAGCGATGACGAGCTTCACGAAAACAGTAACAGCGTTACATATCAACTTTTTTTTTAATGAGCTTCACGTAATATGTAAATAAAAGTATGAAAAGAGAATCATCCCTCAAAATGACATCTTCATAAACCTCAATAATGTCAGCGGAAAACTTGAAACGTTAGGCTTTTTTCAAGCTGCTCGGCTGTATGTAGCGGTTTAAAAATGTAAAATCAAGGATCGCGAGCACCGTCTTCTGTTATCTATGTACACTCGAAATATTAGACCATTGTTCCTTCCGGAAAAGGTAAGAAAATAAGTGGACCGAATCTCCGGGAAGCCGAAGTACTCTGAAAACGAACCCTTCGATTCCGTATACTAATGGTAGGCGGTAAAAACGATTCGAGCGTCTTGCGAGACACAGTTCTCTCGCGACGGAACGTTTATTAGGATCACCTCGTTAAGGCTCGGCGGAGCTGACCGTCTTTGCAGGGCTGTCCCAGAAGCACAAACGTCCCTTACCCCGCGAACTCGTCGTCGTCGTCGTCCAACTCGAAATCGACTCGATAGATCACAAACTGACTTTCCGACCGAGCGTTTCGGCTAGGCTCCTCGGGTCTCGCAGCCGCGCCTGCCCGAGAAGACCCCTGCCGGCTACCGTCCTGGAACACTCAGCCTGAGAAAACCCCGCGGTCTGCTCGCCCCGAGGATGACAGTTCACTAGGTGTTCCGGCTGTAAGTACTATGCCGGGTGATGGTCTGCGTGGTGCACGGGCTGTCCTGAACTGAGCTTAACCGGACCACCGAACTGTGAGGAAGGTGCGTGCTGACGCCGTTCTCGTGGCGAGTCTGATCGCCACCGGCGCAGGCCATCGCTAGGCTGCCACCGCGCGTCCTCGCGCCCTTGCAGTGCAGTAGCTCGCGCATCCCCTTGCGGAAGTTGCGCGACAGGAAGGCGTACAGCAGCGGATTCAGACAGGAGTTCATATACGAGATCAGGAAAGTCGACACGGTCAGCAGGGTGCTGAAGTCCGACGTACGGTCATAATTCGGGCCCCAGTGCCGCCACAGAATGCGCGCCTGCTGCGGTAGGTTGCACACGGCGAACATCATCACCACGGCGATCAGCATTCTGCGGGAGAGGGTTAGTGGTAGTAGTGTTTGTGGCGTCGACTGAATCTCGAGGCTATTAACTAGCCACAAGGTAATTTTTACTTGGATTGAGTAAATTTCACTTGGATGAAATAAATATATTTTATCCAAGTAAGATATTTTCCAAGTAAATCCAAGCAAAATATATTTATTTGATTCGAATAAAATTTATTTGATCCAAGTAAATATTTGTCGAGAATTACCGGAGGAATTATTCATTCGAATCTAACATTTTTATCTGTGGACAGCACTATTTGCTCCATCATATTCGATATGTAACGAGTAGACAACGGCTAAATTATAAAACCGATTTCACATTTTAGCGAATTAGCCAGTAACGAGCTAGAAAATTTAATCTAGCCTGTACTAGCTAGCTGTTAGCTTTTGACTCAGGTCGTCTAGATAAACTTCTACTCGGACTTCTGCGATATTTCACTTCTCTAAACCGAGCAGGTATTTCACTTTTCAACAATTTTTATCGCGAAACTTTCGAATATATTAGGTTGGCCAAAAAGTCTTTCCGTTTTTTAAAAGAAATTTATAAATATATTTTACGTAAAAAGTCAAAACTTTATCAAATAATGTATTGACCGTTTTGTTCGGCTATTCTCTTCCATCTTTCAGGCAGCTTCATTATTCCGTCCCTGAAGAACATTTTTCTCAGCGAAAAATTGCTTTGGGTAGATTTTACAGGCTTCCAAGTTGTCGAATTTCTTTCCATCAAGGAGATACCGCAAGGAGAGGAATAAGTGATAATCTGATGGCGCAAGATCTGCAGACTACGGCGGATAAGGCAGAACATTCCAACCAAGTTCCAATAACTTTCGACGAGACAAAGAAACGTGAGGTCGGGCATTGTCTTGATTGAATAGAACGCCTTTCCTATTGATCAGTTCTGAATGCTTTTCATCGATTGCAGTCTTCAGTTTGTCCAGTTGCAGGCAGTAATCCGAATTAAATATTTGCTTGTTTCGTAATAGCTTGTAGACGACACCTTTTCAAACCCACCAGAGAGATGCGAAACATTATTTTTTTTTTTAGTAAAGACCGGCCTTTGAAATGGTCAGTAGTGATTCATTTTGTTCAGTCCATTTCTTGTGATGAATGTTATTGTAAACGATCCATTTCTCATCGGCTGTCATCACTCGTTTAAAAAATGGGTCGGTTTCGTTGCGTTTGAACAACAAATTGCAAACGGAAATGCGGTCCATTAAATTCTTCTCGGTTAAATGGTACGGCATCCAATACCGTAACGATTCACGTATTCGAGCTTGTGTAGATGGTTTTCAACGCTGGATTTCGATACATTGAGTAGTTTCTCTAATCTCCCAAGTCATTTGACGTGGGTTATTTTCCATTAGTGCTTTTATTTGATCCTCATCAATCTTAGTCGGTCTTCCCGTACGTGGACCGTTTTCGACAGAGAAATTTCCTGCACGAAACTATGCAAACAGAAATTGGCACAGCCGATCGCTTATGGCTTCCTCACCGTATATCACTCATATCTTCTTTGCACCGTGTTTTTACCCTTACGATAATAATAAAACACAATATGACGAAAATCCACTTTATTTTCCTCCGTCTTTAAATTTAAGCCAAATGCAATCAACACAATCATTTCTCATACTTCTTTTCTTAATAATGTGCTGAAATGTTAATTTTTAAGTTATATGCGTACGCGTAGTTGACACTAAATGTACTCGCATTAAATGTGAAGTAAACGCTAACTTCGAAACAAACGAAAAGACTTATTGACCAACCCGATACGTCTGTACGATGTATTTTGGTGGAGAAAAGTTGTTGGTTTGCATCCGCGCGCGTAAATTTAATTGATTAATAAATTTTAATTAATATTACACCTTTGGTAAGGTTTTAGAAATAAAACAGTATGTCGGTTTTGGTGCTTTCCCTCTACTTAGTAAACGTTAGTAAACGAGCGTGATATATCTCATCGTGTTATCGGTGTTATTAACTCGAATATTATCGCAATAATATCGGCGAAAGGAACACGTTCGTTGAGTGCGATCGCTCGAACGGACATTGGCACCGGCAAGGCGGAAATTGAGGGACGCGCCATTGTATCGCGCATACTGCGGAAATGGAGAGATACCTGATAACACCGCGCCTCGCTCTCAGCACATTTTTGCTGGAGGTGTGTACGTGATGGACCCTGCCGTTTCTGCTTCGGGCGACAAGACCGGGCCCTCCGAGGGTCGCGCCGCTCCTCCAGAGACCCACGGCGATCCTGGTGTACAGGCAGCACATGAGGAAGAGCGGCAGGAGGTAAAGAAATACGAGGTTCACCGCGTCCAATACGTTCTTGTTGTGCTTCTTGATATTGGCCACGCAGATGATGTCGACGTCGCCGGTGTTGAGGCGATTGCTGATGGTCTCGACGTAGAGAAACCTGGGCGAGGCGTAAACGGCCGCGACGATCCACACCACGCCTATCACCATCCGCAGGCGGCTCCTGGTCAACATAGACCGGCACTTGATGGGATGCACGATGGCGAGGTATCGCTCGGTGCACACCACCACCAGGATAAGTATGCTCGCCGTGTAGGAAAGCGCGTGCACAAACATGTAGACCTTGCAGAGGAAGTCGCCCAGCTGCCAGCTGTTCATCAAGTAGTTGGTGAGCGTCTGGTAAACGCAGAAGATGCCCACGCAGAAGTCCGCGACCGCTAGATTCGCCAGGAAGAAATTCGTAATGCTGCGCAGCCGGCGGGAGAATGTCACTACGAAGATCACCATGAGGTTACCTGAAAGGCGAAAGCACCGGGCTGTTAACGAGAAGTGCTGACGAGAAAACGATCCGATCATTAAACGACATCTTTAATTATATCTCATTTTACAGGTGAACCACTCGCGATATAAAAGCTCATTTTTATTCGACACTTGATAAGCTATTAGAGAATTAGCGTGGGCGAATTTTTCCTCCACGCTGATCGATCTCTTCCTTAGAACCTTTCGCGCGAATTCCCGTCGGAGGATGGGATATGTTCGAGCGCTCGATTATCTTGGATCATCTTGTAAGTCGAATTTGCCTATTTGCGGCTTCCTCACGGCAGCGCCATTTCGGCTAACAATAAATGATCTACGATCGGATCCGGTGGACCCATTTTATCGTGATAAATCTGGATCACGTTGAACGCCGGAGGAACAAAGACGCCTCTTCTGCGTAGGCGAAGAAGACCGCCGACAATTCACAAATAGCAAGCAGCGTCCTTTGCCGATGCGCCGGAGTCTCAGCTCACTCTCTATATTTCTCGGAGTGAAATTTCAATTGTAAAGCAAAATGACAGCCGAGTCATTCGGAGCCGAGTGATTTTTCATTTGTATAGAATGAATTCTCCGTCTAGAATCGTCGAGCGAATATTTTCACTTGACAAGCGAATCCGATGTATTCCGCTGTCACGGGAACAAATTCATTCTAATCGGCCGAAACATTCATTCGCACACATAGCAAAACATATTCTGCATTCAAGTGAATGTTACTTGTTCCAAATATTTCATAAGTTTATATACGATCTTGATACGATCTTGAATATAAGATCCGACTGTTAGTACGGGTCTCATCCATTGAGTGATCTCAATCTTCTAAATGATTCCGCGTCATTCTCACGATTTTCCGGCCGCTGCGTTGAGCCTGTGTTTCTTTTCTATTTTTCAATATGGTCTTTCAGGCTGTAAATCGATTAAAACGATTGAAACGAACTCGGATACTATCGGTCTGGTTTTCCCCACAAACGGGAATTAAATCATTACGATTCTCTTTTAAAGGATATAGAAAAAGTTCGATACGTTCGTTAAAAAATGGCAGTAAAAGGAAATGACATTATATAGGATATAACAAGAGCGATTTAAATTATTTTAGCCGAGAGTGGTATGGAACAAATTTAATGAATTACGTACAATATTTTTATATATTTTTATATCATTCTCTCTCTCTCTCTCTCTCTTTAGGGGCGAATAGAAAGGGGAAATGAGTGGAAAAGGGAAGTTAATAAAAGAAAGAAACAAATCAGATAACAACGCGAACGAAGTATTTTAATTCGAGCTTTGACTCTTCATTTGCTCGCTACACCTTCGAATAATTTTATTTCCGTGGTAATGCGTGTTTCAACGTATTTTTCTGTTAACTACGTTACTACGTTAAGTTACGCGCCTATCAACGCCTATCACGCGCATTAATCAACAGATAGGAGACCATACGGTAATTGAAGTATAATAAAGCGCACCTCTTCAATAATTCACCGCCGCACTCTGCTTCGGCAGCTTAATAACTCCCCGATAATGGATCGTTAAGCGACCACCACGAAGAAACATACGGTAACGCAATAATACTGTTAAGCGAGAGCCTCAACCACGTAATTGCTTTCATGGCGTCCGCTATCCACGTTAATTTTATTGATAAGATTTACCGACTTCTACACATCGTACGTGATATGCGGGCCGAACAGTGGAAACCATCATCATTGGCTAATCAGTCTCATTCAGCATTCACCCTTTGAGACACCATTAGAATTCCTTTTGAAAACGTTTATCGCGTTCACGGTCATTCAACACGCGATAACTTTCTTTAGGATCGCGACATACTTTAATTACAGAGTAGTTGAATGAAGAAAGGAAAACCCATACTTGACGGGCAGACTGTTATTTCTCATTAAAAGTTGCAATTAAGTCTTCTGCTTCAAAACATAAAATTTTACAATAGATTGAAATGTAATGTGACAACTTTCGCACGTGCACAAACGGTTCGCGCTTGAGAGTTTCAATGTAGCGTAGCAGTGACAAGGACAGTGAAAATGACAAATATGTATCAGAAACGTGCACATGAATATGTTTTCTATCAATTATATGTATGTAACATGCTTTCTTGGGGATTTCAATATTTTACTTTCAATTTCGATTTTTCACTTTCTGCCAAGTTTTGATAGCATTGGCCCTACTGTGCGACGGTAGCCACCGCCTGTTCCACCCTTTTGCACATTTCTTTACGGGGCGTCATCCTTTGTTCTTCGTTCGCGCACTCGAGACTGCTGTAGAGGCAGGCGTACACGGCGTTGCTCCGGTTAGAAAAGCGCATGTCACGAAGGCAGCACGAAATACAGAAAATGAAATGGTACGAGCTGAGAGACACAGAGAAGGCTGTTGTCGCGTACGTTTTTTTTTACACAGGATGCACCAGCGTCATCGCCGCCTGCGTCTCCTTTAATTTTCTAAACTCAAGGGGATGGACACCCTAATACGAGTAAAATCTAATCTCGCTGTTTCATCTCTTGCTCGACTTGATCCACCTACAATATTGACGCTGCAATATTGAATAGGTGATACGTAAAACTTGTAAATATCACACTCTCGCATACACGCATGCTTAGTTTGCGTTTTCTTCATCTTCTCAGCACGTTAGGGCACACCAGTCCGCTTTAAATGTTACGCCCTGATTGTCTCGAGCAGCGTGTAATGCGACGCGATGAAATGTGACCTCACACGAGCTGACGATGACACGGCTCCCCCTTCACCCGCTCGCGAAATATCTTGTACGTTAATGAAGCTGTTGTGATAATGAGGGATGTCCTGATCCTCGATCTTTTAAATTGTCAGACCGCCGATGAATGATAATGGCATTTTGCCAGACCGAGCTCGGGGAAACTGAGCGTTCACGGTCTCATAGTTTATTACCGGGAGAGTCGAAGAAACTCGACTGAGTGAAAAGTTTCGGCGGTCTCCAAGTTGAAAATTATATACCGAACGCGACAAAAGGAACTGCTCCTTAACTTCCATATTCCTTCGTTCATTCCTTCCCCTCCCTCTCTCTCTTTCTCTCTGCCGTAATCGCTTTAATCCCTCTTATTTTTCTCGGGAGATTCTCTCGTGAGATTTCGCAGGATAAGACGGTGAGCTATTGGCGACGGATGGTTGGGGGGATTTAAGCTGTTGGCGGCCGTCGAGCGATTCGCAACGGCAGGATTAATACGATTCTAGCGCGAATTTCCCGCCATCGTAAATCGACGTGCGAATTTCGCGTATATCGCGCGCTCGCGATAATGCCGACCGATCGCCATATCGATAACGAGCCATTTGTATCTGAACATTTTAATTTCAAATCCCTGCCGGATTTATCGTCTGTTTGACCGTGGGCCCGATTGGATTCGTGCGTCAATATACCTTAGGAATACAACGATCGAACGTCATTTCTCATAGCCCGGGAACGGAAGCGTGAACGTTTGGAAATATTTTTCTTCCGATATTGTAATATCCTCTTTTTCCAATGCCGCGATTCTCTTAGCCATCGGATTTAAAGGAAGTGAATTATCTCGTGCGATTTTACACGAGTGACGCTAGCGAGATTTTAATTTCTCCCCTATTTAATAACGATGAAATTTTGGGAGAAATTTTCTTACCCTCTGAAACTCGTTGAGAACAAAAATATTGTAAAATTAATAAAACCGTCAAAAATTGTATGCCACATTTACCGCGCGCAAATACCCTGATGCCTCTTAAGCTATTAATTAAGATTTTAATTATACATATAACTTGATATCATTAGCAGATACGCGTACAATAATACGCAAATAATTAATTATTGTTAATCACCTTATTTATAGAACTTGCAAGAAACTTTGTGTACCGGTCGATACATTTAATTAATGTACTTAAAAAGATTGTTACAGGATATAATTTATGAAGAGAACAGCTTTATGTTCGGAAGCTCCCTCCTTTAAGAAATTGAAACGTTTATTGTATCGATAAACGATCGCATCGCGAGTGATGGATGTTTCTCATTTTATGACTAATAATTTGCACGCGAGATTTCACCCACGACGATCGTTAACCGCGCTCAACGATAAAAATGGTCGCCGAGCGTTTCCGCAGTTGAGACTCTCAAGGAGGGATTCAATTTTGCGATAATCCTGGAGACGCGCATTCAGGACTTCGTTCTGCTTCAATTCTGCTTCTGTCATACGAGAAATGCAGCTTCGAGAGAGCTAAGACGCAAGCTTCATTGAAAGCTTTTCCCTTTGTTTGGTTCTTCTTATTGTTGCGGTCATTGGGGACGCATTGTGATCTAGATTAACGGGTAATTATGAAGATTCATACTCGCGATTCATTGAACATTGCTTTCACACGGAATTGCCTATTGAATAGCTTTTCAGGCATAGATCTTCTCATTTTTTCGGGAATGATATTTTCAGCGGAAATATAAAGACGCGACTTGGTCGTTGCGGTTTTTTTTGTTCAAATCTAACATTAGTCAATATCAATCAACGCCAATGAACGTCAACGAACAAACGTCAGTCAATGCCAACAAATGTTAACCAACGTGAAATCGACGCCAACTGACTAAACTGAGGTCGGATTTTCGGCCGGTCACCCTCTCACGTATCCTCTCGCTACCTACAGGCTGGCACCATCTGGAATTTTCGACACACGGAGGTGAGGAGAAATTCCCGTTTCTACGATTAAGCATTATCGACGTATTCCAGGATCCGAAGGAGGCGACCCTTGCCGAGCGCGTCCGCCGTAAATAATGGCCAGTAATAAAAAAAAAAGAACCCCGGTAAAATAGATTTTCTGAATTATCGCGCACGAAGGACGAGAGAGGACCGGAGCGGTAAAGAAACGGGCCGGAGACAGGAAGATCGGTTCGCTGCATCCCTTTGATGTCTTGCGTCGAAAAAATAAAGCGCTCTTCGTAGGTGGGTGTCGGCGTGTTTGTGCGTCGCCCGGCGTCCAGGATCATCAGTGCGTCGTCACG